CGTTGGCAACAGCTGTAAGGCACCAAATACGCCAAAGCCAGTGCCACCCTGTCCCAACCAAAGGACAACACTTCATTAAAAATTTAAAATCCCGAAAAACCCCAAATGCATGTGCCCTTTATCAACTCTCTTCCAGGGGCACCAGAACTTTTTCTTTACGGAATAGACGATTTCGGCTCGAATATTCAAATGTGAGATCATATGTGAAGACATATAAGTGAGGGGCGCAAGATGCCAGCCGTTTCGGCAAAAAGAGAGCTAGCTGCGTAAGTACAGATAGAAGCATCCCAACCGTGACTAGTCCTCGAAGAAGACCACAAAACCAAGGAGGTAGATAACGACACCTGTTTAGCACATATTACTTTTAATAAGATATTTAAGAAGCAACTGAGAACTATGGCTTGTGCTGTCAAATGCACAACACCAAGAAGTGAAGCAAAAACGGAAGGTGGTAACAGGAAAAAAAAAAATTTAATATCAAATGTGTTCATCAGAGAGAATAGTTGTTGTGTAGAAGTAAGATAACTATCGTTACTGCTATTGCAGAGAGCAACTTACTCTGACCAAGTTCTTCACCAAGAAAATGATTGAGTTATTTCCCATTGCGGGTTTGCAGTAGCTTCTGTCACAATCAGAAAAGCGACTAACAACTGCTCTAACAATTGTTAAAAATAGTATATTTTAAAGACACTCACTGCCGGTGAAAAACACATAACCACGAAAACTCGAATGAAAACCAAAACATTGACTAATGATCTAGCAGCAGCCTCCTATTCAATTTATACCAATTACAATTTGAAACTACCAGTCTCTACCCTAGGTTGGGCGTACCGTTTGACTCCCTGACCTAACTTCTCCCCTTTATAATTATATAGATACATTATATTGGACCTGCCATCCAAGGTCTCCTTGGTGGAACACCACCAATGGTCCATGGATAGGACAGTAGTAATGAAAGAGTGGAGTAACGTGGATACCTTCCATCATAGCTTATATGGATATGTCCCGCTTCATTTTCGTCTTTCCCCGTGCACCTAGTTCTTCCTGCCGTCAAGCCTAATAAGCTATACCGCTAAATTCCATTCTATTGCGTCGATTCGTCTAATCTTTACACAGGCCGCACCGGAAAAAGCATCATAAGGGAAGTGGGAGGACGCTTTTAGTGAATTTACTTGGCTGCTCAACACTTATATTATGTGTGCTTTTAAAGAATTATATATTATCACTTTGAATCAATAAATTAAAATTTTTTGATTGTAGAAAACTCCTACATAAGTTGAAACAGATAATTTTTTTTTAAAAAGAAAAACAAGTTAATTAAAATCATAATTCAAAGCGATACCTTAAAAGAAAATAAAATCATTTGTAAAAAATTTCTTGAAACGCAAAAAGTATTATTTTTTGTGGTTATACTATTTTTTCATCAGTGAAATCATGGTTACATTCTCACTTTAGAAATTATTTATGGCTAAAATAATATAATTACTTTAGCAAATAATATATTTATTAGATAAAAGCACCCCAGTAATGAGATAAAAAGGGCATAACAATTATCTTTAGACATTTTTAACAAACAGGGCTAGTTATACATATTCATATTTAAATATAATTTTAAAAAAACCATCTAAATTTAAAGACCTCTCAAGAATAGGTATGGTCCTTTCGAACACTAGAAACAACACATCGTGGGAGACGCCCGGTGACCCACGTCCCTGAGTATTGTGATATATACGAACCGTAATCAGTAGAAGTAGGAATCCAGGAACATATGCATACAATAACAAACACGCATTTCAGAAAAGCACCATCATTGACAAAAGTACCAAATCACTATAATATCAAAGTAATGACGTTTCCCCCAAAAAATGACAAAAATATCGAAAAATTACGATCAATAAACATTATGTTTCCAGAAAATTACAAATCGACCTTTCTGCACCAATGAAAACATTCAGCTCAAGACTCTATTCGTTTTTTTTTTTTTAAATTTTGTTGTAAAATTCAGTTGAAGAATTTTTTTAAAAAAATAATTAAATTCAAGTCCTTAAAAAAATAAATTTAATTGAAGTATTTTTTAATTTTTTAGGTGTATTTTTTTACAAATTTATTAAATTTTAAAAACCGGTTTTCAAAATTTAAAATTTAAAATTATGCGATTTGCCGAAAAAACAATCGGAACCGTCGGTTTTATCACCGTACCGGAACTAAAACCGAAACCGAAATCAAAACTTTTCGGTTCCAAATCAAAATCGAAATCGAAAATTTTCAGTTCGATTCCGAAACCGTGACCGCCCTTCTGATGAGGGCTCTAAAACTCTATTATGGGCATGATGAAGAGTGATAGCGACAGCGTTTTCTTTTTTCTGTGTTCAATGGGGTTGTTAATGGTCAAATTTGGAATCTCCGTCTTCCTCCTTTAGCACCCTTTATTTTTAGTTTTTTAATTGTCATGTGTTCGAAGTTTACTGACCCGATTAATTTAGATTAGACTCGTAAAAGGAAAAAAATGCTCTTTTTAAAATGTTTAAAAGGACTATATTCAGGGCTCGAACACGGATATCTGATTAATGCCTCTGGAGAGTCACTTACCACCCTTTATGATTATGATTAATGTATTAAAACATAATTTTATAAATACATAAAAAATTAATCTTCACCTTTACATATATATTTAATTCTCAATTTCACATTAATTTTTTATCGAAAAAAGATATTATAGTCCGCCTATACCACCATTTTTTTACGAATAGGTATAGTTTTAATTTTCTTCGCGAAGAATAGTTCAACATATTGAAATGATGTATATGATGAATTAGATTGGTCTCATTTATATGGGATTTAGTAATTATACATGCTGGACGGGTTAAAGTATGAAATTAATATAGATATTTTAATTTGGAGATTTTTATAAGATGTTGGTTCAAAGTGGGACCTATTTGTAAACGATTATTACATGAAAACGGTGTGCTCTGCATAAGATTATCTACTTTAATGATCTTAGCTCTATTTGGTATACTATGTTAGACATCTGGATGAAATTTTGTATTTTGCTACATCTCAGTGCTATATTTATGGTGTCATTTATGCCATATAACGATATTCAATCATCTAATTGGGTTGGTTTGAATAAACAGTAATTCTTTTTTCTATAGCATTTTATATAGATTTGGAAAAATGCTTTTCTTTATGTATAAATATATTTAATATTAACCGCACACGCGACTTATAATTAATCGATACGCAAATTGTTTGCGGTAGATTAAAACCTCTACTTTTTTCGTGCTCCAAAATCTTAAAAAGATGCTTGTGGATCAACTTTTTGTCTGTGGACCCGCGAGGTGGTGTAGGGTCAAGGAGGTATCACCGCACTTAATGTTCTGTCGTTAGGTCCGCTTATTAACATCCCTGGTTATCATATTTTCCTATGTAATGATTAAAGAATCTTTTACAATTTTTTCTATGGGTTTCATAATTTTTGTGTAGTCTTTTGGGAGAGGACTGTTCGCGCAGTGAGATGTCCTTTCAAATATGAGGTGCCTTCTATTTTTATTGGGTGTCCAAAAATATATCTAGGTGTGCCTTTTGTAGACATAAGTACTCGCATGTTGGGTTGCATTACGAACTAATGGTTATAATTGTCTAATAAATTCGTGTCACACATGACTGGAAGTTGTGATGTGCGCAATCAAAATAGAAGAAAATTTGGTCTCAGATAGTTATAGTCCAAGTCGAAAAGACGGGAAGGCTAGGGCAAAAGCATAATAAGATAAGGAGGACAGAGGAAGGAATAAGGAAGACAAGAGTCATGTCTATTAGGTAGGGCATTCGCGGTCTCGCCTTTTTAGTGTATACTAAAAAAAGAGGTGGCTTCTATTTAACACCAATGTGTATGAAAAAGAATATTTTATAGATTTTCTCGTGCATTAGTGGCTAAAAATGAGGATTTACCTTGAATATCAATCGCCCCTTCCATTTATTTAGGAGAGTAGAAGCAGATTTAGTTCACTGAATGTCTGTTCGCGTATTAATAGGTGAATATTTTATAATTACATATCCAGTGGTTTAGTATTTTTTGATTGAACTCAGTAGTGTACGAAGAAGTAACAGAATAACTTTGTGGAATTCTGAAGATATATTAAATCATATATCATGATGTACAAGCGATAAATTAGGTAAAATATGTGAATTAAGCTCAAGTTGCTTTGCACAAGGTTTTATTCCAATACTACACTGCATGTACGCCATTATTGCGAAAGAAAAAGGAGATGCGTGCTAAATTTTTGGCCACCTGCCGATCTGTTTGAAGTAGATTCCAACTAACTTGGCTATCCTTAATATTAATAAAGTATATGAGTTACTGGCTTGCTACGCTAGTAGGTAGGTTATAACGCAAGAGGCAAGCACAAACTGAGCGTTTGAAAATCTTATGGAATAAAGGTCACATTGATCAATCATCGAGTGGGTTGTGGCGAGACTTAAATTGTATTGTTTTTCGCCAAAACACATACCTAAATCTATTTGTCTAGGTAAAATGGGGTACACGCAAAGGGAAATCTTTTATCTTGAATTTGATTATATGATTAGGCGTTCTTTCTCGTTTTTTGCATAGATTGATGAAAAGCCAACATTAGAAAGCCCTCTACTGATGGAACCTTATGCAAATAGGAGGTCGGCATCAATGTACTCCGAGTTAAGGATATGTGTCATTCAGAAATTTGTAATATATGGCAGAGATATCATATTATATGTACTTGGATGTTCCGCTCTTCGTGCATATATGACTAAAGGAGTTAGTCCCTATATCATTATTCTTTAGGGTCCCTAGAAAAATAAGGGTGGCGGTTTTAAAAGAAACTATATGTACTATTGTAACTACGTCATCGAAAACAGTGACACAAGCTTTCTAAAATTTGACGCAATCATGAGAAAGGTAGACTGTTTCCTTCATTTAGGTCTGAGGAATGTTCAAAATATTTGAACAGGTAGATCCGAATAAAATATTAATTTATCAAAAAATCAGAAAGATGCTTGTTTGCTTTTCTATTATATCCAAAATACAAAAATTTCTATACAACAAAGGAAATGGAAATTTCTGAATCCATAGATCTGAAAAGGTATTAACTACAAATTTTACAATTTGGAATAGCATAAACTAGCTCTCTTCTGCTTTTTGGGAGAGAGACAGAGAGAGAGAGAGAGAGAGAGAGGGGAAGATGGTAACTTGCCCACCAGATAAACCAAAATATGCTTTTATCTGGGAAACACTCCAGGAGATGCTCTCTTCTCCCTTGGCTTCTCTGATTGCTTGCTCCACAAGAGTACAAGCAGAAATATGTGCACCGGCTGACTGTCCCGTAAGGTAAATCCTACACAATAAGCATGAAGGAACTAAAAACATAGTTTTAAGTAAACGGAACAAGGAAAAATCAGAAAAAATATTCTATTACCTGTTTGGGTCACCTCCATATTCTGAGATGTTGTTGCAGATAAATGAAATCCCCTGACAAGCATCTGTTACCATATCACTGATGGTTCCCTGAGGGAAATTTCTGCATGTACATGTCCATCAAATATAATTCTGCATGTACATGTCCATCAAATATAATTAACATGGGTGAAAATAGAACAAAAATAAGCAAGCAAGATAACATGGAATGTATGCCAAGTTCTTGAAAAAGCTTAACATGGAAGAAGTGGACTTCAGCCACACAAATTTGTTTTCAAAGGGGCTGAAATTGAGCTGAGAGATCATCATAAACTAAACTGACAAAGTAAATTACTTCCTATTAGGGTTAATGTTTAATGCAAATTCTATAGATCTTGGAATGCCACTAGCCTATACAAGAATCAAAGAATCACGTTTTCAGCAGCTCAAACGTTTATCCTAATACAATGTTATGGCTTTTTCATTTAGAGAGTCGGGCATACTTATTCTATCTCACTGTCAACATTATTGACTTGCATATAATTGGTATTTGTGATATTCATCAAATGCAGCAACCTATAATCAAAAGGATCTAATCGGGCATACTTATTCTATCTCACTGTCAACATTATTGACTTGCATATAATTGGTATTTGTGTTATTCATCAAATGCAGCAACCTATAATCACCTAATTAATCAAAAAGGATTCTTGACGCGCTTTCATTAAACTTATTGGTCTTCAGGAGGTTTTAAGCAAAGAAGAAAAGAGGGGGGGGGGGGGGGGGGGGGGGGGGGGGGGGGGGGGGGGGGGGGGGGGGAGGGGGGGGGGGGGGGGGCGGGGGGGGGGGGGGGGGGAGAGTGGGGAAGGAAGTAAAAAGTAAGAATAGAGAGTATTGAAATTGGAGACATGTTTCTTCAGTGGAAACCAGGTTATCAGTATGAAATGCTCCCTTCAAGTACTCTTCTATCCCACTCATTAGCATGTATGGGTAAAACGAAGACCATGAACTGCAAAATGATATTTGCTTAAAATGAAACCACTTACCGGTAATTAATATATGCGACTATGATATCTCATGTATGGGTAAAAATATTTTTGAAAAATAATAAAAAATTAAAGAACTTAATTAACTTGTCTCGTTAGTCAAGGCAAATCAAGAATCATCCATTGAAATACAAATGAAATGGAATAGTAATAAAAATAGATATTCCTATTTATATGTCTAGGAGGTCGAATGGAATAGGGAAGGAAATAAACAAAAAATGAGAAGAAATTCAATAATTTATTATATTAAATTGAAATAATAAATATGTTTTTTTCCTTCTTATGTTAATGTGTAAGAACAAAATTCTCATCTATATATGATTTTGGAGCTTTAAAACAATGTAACATTCATTTTGTTATTTAACGTGGTCTGATTAATCTTCTTAATTATGTATTAGAGTCCTTTGGATTCTAATAATTATTATCAATTTGATGATTAAGAAGATGACTACCTTCACGTAACTCATAATTATTTCGCTCATTAGGTCTTCCAATAAATAAATAAAAAATTCATTTTGATTTATCGACATAATTATTTCGCTCATTAGGTCTTCCAATAAATAAATAAAAAATTCATTTTGATTTATCGATATGAATTATGTAATACCCAACTGATAATCAATATGGAACCAGATTACTGGAATTAGATGCCATTTTTAGAAGTTTTCATGTTTTTTCTTGTGTTCATGGTAGGCGAGAGCTTAATGCTGTTGCACATGTATTCAGTAGGTTCGCCTTTGTTTTTCCTTTGGAACAGATTTGGATTGAAAAGAGTAATATTGGCCACATATTACTTGCCATATTAGAAAAGCGACTATATGGCATAAAAATCAAAATAATTAATAAAAGGAAAATGTAGTTTTTAGTATTTTTAAAAATAAAAACAATAATTTTTCAAAAATAGTAAGCGTAGAATGGATAACTTAATTGATTAAATTAATAAAAGCAGTCCAAATATGAACCATATATGTAACATCATCCCCTTGAAGAAAAAAAAAAAAAAAACATTCATAGTCTTTTATTCTCCGCACAAATAATCCAATTATAAATTTTGATAATATTGCACGTTTTTCATATTAATAAGGATATTTTTTTTTACTTTTGACTTTTCTATGTAAAAGCATTGATTTTATATTTTAGTTACTATAATTTTTAGAACAACAATTTTTTACATTTTTTAATTATTTAATAAGTGTTCAACCGATTTAATTTTACAAGTTAGAATATTTAATATAAAAAATATTCAAATTAAAGTATTTAATTATATAATTTTATAAATTAAAATTTTCAATGATCAAAATAAAAATTGAAAATACCGTAAAATATTTTTATATAAAGTGCAAAGTGAATTTATGCATTTGGCTAAATTTAATATAACAAAATAAGTCCTATGGTTATTATGCATTAGTCATTATTTAAAGTACCCCACCAACAGATTCTGGGCGAGAAATTTCTTTTTTCCAAAATTTGTTCGTTCTTTGTTTTGGAAAAGAGACAAGGGTTGACTGCGTCATTTGAAAATTGAACCATTTTGTTGTGAGAAGTATACTTTTTTTCTCATACCAGAAAAATAATTTATCTTCACAGATTTTTTTTTTTTAATTTCTATATTAGTGAGATCTGAATTTCTCTTCTTATTTTAGATTATTATCACTCGTTCAAATCTTTTGAATCAACAAATGACAAATATCACATTAAGAGTTTATCTTATATAAGAGTAAAGAATGATAATGGATAAGGTATGAGGCGGGTTTTCTAATACCTCTACCCGACATGCAAAATTAAATACATTTTTGTCCCACCGCCAATTTTAGTTAGAGTCGACGGGTAATGAACAGATCGTGTTTAAATAAATTTCATAAAAAAATAAAAATAGAAATAGAAAAATATTGGCTTAATGCTTTTAAATAAAATGGAGCAGATCATGAGCATGTCATATATAATTTTTATTTAATTAATATCCACTTCTTTTTTAAATATATTAAATTTTACCCCGCCTCATTTATATATTAAGTTTGGACGAGTATTCAACGGAGTGGGTAACAAATATTAACTTTTATTTCGAGTACTATTATTTCATTCAAGGTTTAAGAATAATTGTGCAAATCAAAATAGTTTGATTTTTCATTTTAAACCATTAAATCTCACTCCAATTTGAATTATCCAATTAGTTTAAAATATTAGTATACTCTCACATACTTTAATAATATAAACAGTTGATCATATCATATTATATTATATCGTAGATAAAAAATTATGTATGTAAAAATAAAATTATAAATACCTAAACAACGTCCAACACCGGTCAAAATAAAAATACTGCATATAAAAAGAGGGAAAATTCTAGGATAACACCTCAGTAAATATAAAAGTCTTGACATATATATAGTTGCCAAGTTCATAACACTCGTTTTTATTTATTCATCAAGTTGCCAAGTTCCATAACAAACTCGTTTTATTTTATTCATCATATTATATATATAATATATATTATATTATATATAATATATATTCAACGGTTCGTAACATGAGAACAACCGGAAGGGCCACAAGGTGGGTCTCTTTTTTTGGGAGAGGGCAGACAGTATCTCTTCCCAGGGCCGCATTGAAACGGTGGTTTTTTGGGATCAGCTGCTACTGGCCGTGTTATTCCTGCATCTGATATTAATTCAGCAAGCCAAATTTAAATTCTAATAACATAATTATTTGCAGTATATGTTAAAAAAATATATAAAGCCAAAGACTTAATTACTACTTGACTCCATAGATTTTTCCAAGCAATTGTATGGCTATTATAATAAATTAATAATTATAGCAAGCCAGGAAAATAGACTTACGAAATTGACTCCAAGTCAATGCAAGACATAGCCAGAGATTCAGTAGTAGACCGTCGGATAAATCAAAATATTGCGTAGAGGAAATTTCATTTTCAAGATTTGGTCTTTCTATCTCTTACTGAAAAGTCTCTCTTACTGAAAAGTAAAAGGTGAATTGAACCATTTATTGAGAGAATTACTTCTTTTTCTCACATCAGAAAAAGAATTTTATAATATACCAAAAAAAATCTGTATCCATGAAATTTGAATCTCCCATTTTATTTTAGATTATCATTTAATAAAATTTATTAAATGAATATGTTATCAGAAATTCAAAATGAATAATATTTTAATAGAATATTAAGGAGCGATAAGGTAGATTATTCTAGAAATCCCCAAGGCAGCCGATTTGAGTAAATAATGGAGGGATAAGGCTGATTTATAGGAGTGATAAGGTTTAATAATTAAAGAATATGTGTTGTAATAGGAGTCTTAGAATAGCTTAATTCTTAGCAGAATATTAGTTTAAATAGACAATTGCTTCTGTATGATGTCAAGAAAAATACGCAGAACATTCAATAATAATTATAACGTTTTTCGTTCATTTTTTTCTCTCCAAATTTTGTTTTTCATCTTGGTATCAGAGCCTTTGTGCTTCTGTTTTCGCACTCTCATCATGGCTACCTCTTCCCTAAACGTAAGCAACTTTGTTACCTTGAAGCTTTCGCAACGTAAGCAACTTTGTTACCTTGAAGCTTTCGCAAACTAATTACCTGTTATGGAGGGAGCAGGTCATTGGTTTAGCTGAAAGCCAAGAACTTTATGATCATTTAACCACCAAACCCCCAACTGCTGTCGTTGGAACAACCAATTCTGAGGAAACAAAACAAAACCAAGCTTGGCAAAAATCTGACAGGCTACTTCGAGGGTGGATTGTTGGAATGCTCTCTGAAGAGTCCTTGGGGTTAGTCATAGGTCTCGATACTGCTTATGCAGTTTGGGAGGCACTCAAGGAAGCCTATGCCAAAAAGGAAGCCTATGCCAAAGATTCACAAGAACGTGAATTTACTTTGAGGCAGCAACTTACGTATCTACGTAAGGATGACAATGTCGTATCTACGTAAGGATGACAATGTCTCAATTGGCGATCATATTCGGAAATTCAAGTCATTATGTGATAATTTGGCTGCAATCGGTAAGCCAATGGCTGATCAGGAGAAGGTCTACTGTCTTCTAACTAGTCTTGGGCCAGATTATGAAACTTTCACCACAACTATGTTGAAGCCGCCTAGACCATCGTATACGGAGATGATCTCACAACTCCAGAATCTTGATCAATGGCAAATGTGGTTCAGTTCTTCCCAGCCGACGCACCTGGCATTTTACTGCACTTCTTCTCGCAACAATAATCAAGGGCGCAGTTGAAGCAATGTGAATTTCTCTTCAGCCGGTAGAGGTTTTCAGGCGCAGCAACGTGGGAGCAAGGCTAATGGAGGCGCGCCTGAGTCGCAGCAAACACAGCTGAGGACGTTACCACCTGGTCTTCGTCGTATGACACCCGAATAAAGGGAACTGTACCGCAATGAAATCTATCAGGTATGTAATAAACAGGGACA